ATGTTTTTAATGACACTGTGGTATAAAGAAGCAGTTGAGGTTTGTATTTATTAAAAACTGGAATTAAACTATCAAATTTAAAAATTATGTTTGCTGTAGGGCACTTAAGGTTCAGATGATAATGTAATTCAGATAGAAAGTAGTGTGCATCAATCATTGATTTTACTTTTTTAAAGTATAATTATAAGCAAAATACTTTGTCAAGTATTTGAACTCAAGAGGTTCTATGATTTCTATATTCATTCAAATTAATGGAAATATGAATCTATATCTTTGCAGTTCTTTTTTTCTTTAATGTTCTCTGATATTAGGAATTTAATGAATTTATATACTCAGCCTTTATACTCATCACTTATAAGCACATCAATGTGCTATATTATAAAGGCTCATTATTGTGTGAGGTGTGCTTATTTTAGACTGAATCACTTTGATCCAGCAGTTAATGTAACTCTTAATTGATTCCCACTGAAGTTCTATTTCAGCTTTATAAAACTGTCAGGTATAACTGGTCAACAGGACCTCATAATTAGAATTTTCATGGTGCCTTGTCTGCAATCAAAATCCACCGGTTTGATGGGATGACCATAACTTTTGGTTCATACCGTGTGCTGGGTTAGCCTTGGGTGCCATTATTCATTATGTTTTAAAGTAGAAGCCACAAAACCCTTTTTGCCTGGTGACTTACTTATTAAAAAATTACCCACTGGTTTTATTATTGTTATTATTATTTTATTATTAAATCATTTTCAGAAACAGTCACAAAATCTGGCTATAATTTCTCAGATGCAGCTGTCTTGTCTACTTGTCTTGTCTTATACACTAGTGAAAAGTTAATAAATAGGACTTTGAAAAATCGTTACTACATCTTAATTAGATGGAAAATTCTTATTCTGAAATGCTGCTGATTATAATGCTTAATATCTGTATAGTTGATGTTATAACCCATTCTCCATTAGAAAGAGATACATTTGCTCACTTGACTAAAGGGATGATTACTAATGAAGAGAACAGAAACCAGAAGAATGAAATTATGTTTGAGGATGATTTATTGAAAATTTTAAACTTAACAGATACATTGATTTGAAATTATGCAGAACACCTTTGTGTCAACATCTCTTTGACTTCATATACTTCTCTTGTCTAATTAAAAATAAAGCAGGACAAAAAAATAGGAAGGAATATTTGTTCTTATCACGACCAGGGAAATGACTCCATATTGAACTACTTCCTTAAGAATTTTTAGAATGTACAGGGGATTACATTTATTTTATACATGCAAGCACAAAACAAAGGCATAAAAATGAATTAGGGCCACCACACATAGAAATTAGGTCAGTGTTGAGACAAGCAGGGTCAAAATGAATTTCATGGAATTAGCGCAATTACCCAGGTTGCTGACTTACTCCTTTAGCACGTATCTGTTGGGTACCAGAGCTAAGGGAGTTGAGGCCAGGGCACAAACATACTTTACTTTCTTCCCCAGTGATGTACTCAAGGTCATACATGACCTGGTTAAGCACAAATACTCTGTCAAAGACCAATCTCCTTAACTGCTCTCTGCATACATGAAAATATGAAGCCTCTCATTGTTTCAGTTAAGTGGGATAAATCAAGAGGAAGATATTGAGCTTCTCTCTAGATGTTAATGCAGGCAGGAAAAAGAGATAGAATGGTAGATGCTAAAAATTAAGTTTAACCCTTTGCACTCCGCTGTCCCCTCTCAGGGGACATCGGAATTCTAGCATATCACTCGGATGTCCCCTCTCAGGGGACATTGCAATTTATTAGTGATTACAGGGAATTGAGGTTATTTCAATGCAACTTTTTGAGACATGCATGTTTCCCTGAAGTTTTATCTTGAAATTAAACAAGAAATTAAATCAAAATATCGTAAAATGGTTCGGAGTGCAAAGGGTTAAACTTGAGTTTTGAAACAAAAGATGGTGCTAAAAATATGGGGAATTAATTTGGCAAACTAATTAATATGTATTACTAAATAGAAATCCCAGTTTGCCACTGGAACTCTTGGTTAAGAGAAACTAAATTTGATCTTATATTTTTCTTGATCAGTAGATACTGAGCAATTACTCTGTGCCAGACATTGTGCTAGGATCTGATAAAGTGAAATAAAATAAAGCTGAGAAAGTTTTCAGATAAATGGATCTGGGAAAAACTGGTGTTGAGAAGGAACATAATAAATTCACATATAAATATATGTGTATATAACTTAAGTGACCCTATGTCTTAATTTGCCAGTCATGGTTCCTTTTAGCACTGTTGTCCTGGCCTGGCCCAGTTTGCATGGCATATAGTATCCCTTCTTGATTTAATATATCAAGCCCATCTCTCCCAATATTGATTTAAAATTATGCAAAACACCTTTGTGTCAACATCTCTTTGACTTCATAATACTTTTCTTGTATATGAAGTTAATATTCAGAACTTTTACTGAATCTCTTATTTTTTTTTTCATTGTGTGTAGACCATATTGTGGTCTTGGTTTAACATTTGAAAAATCTTATTTTAGCATGTCTTTCCTTGGAATGAATTGGACTATTTCTACAAACTGTAATAATGTGTTCCTCGCATTATTCTGGGAAAAACAAAGAAAATTAAGAGGTCATTTCAGTTTGGCAGGAGAGGTGATAAACTGTACACAACACTTGGGGAGTTCTAGCCAGCTTGCTGTGTTTGTGATTTACTTAGAGAGGATATTGCACCTACTGTACTTATATAGTACACTGGGAAAAACTGATGTTGAGAAGGAACATAATAAATTCACGCATAAATAGTTTACCTTTAGACTAACATGATTGACTGAGAATCCATGCAGTTTAGAGTGTAAAAATGCTTCAAATTTGTTATCCCTTCTTCCATGCCTCTTTAAAAGTTATGGTGTTTGTCCTCATGTTATTTTTTTTAATTTTTTTTAAATGTAGTATAATTCAAAATTTGTAGTATAATTTTAAACATAATTTTAAATGTGTTTCTTAAATCTCCACACTCTCAAATTACTTGTTAATAAAAAAGTTGCCTTGTAACTCAGATATATGCCTTACTAGTATTCTAGCTTTTCCCCATATGTACTTCATGGTTTGTTTCATAAGCCATAAGCAGAGGAAGAGGACAGTTCTGCTTAATGCACCCGCATGCAGCTGTCACATACAGAGCCAAACCTAAACAGGGCCTTGTTGTAGACCACTTATGACTCTCAAGATTCTCATTCACACATACATGATTTGTTTTATTTTCCCTTTCTATAAAAAATGATAATTGTTCCTGCAAAGTACAGCAATATGTTTCAGGAATCTCATAGTACTTTGTCAAGGAGTGATACTTAAAAATTTGGTTAAGTCAGAGACTCCCCAGCATAGTGTTTGGAGGATTAAGAGCCATGTGAATACTTAGGGGGAATAGTTTTAAGTGTCCAGATGGTCACATTTCCTGGGCATGAATTGCCATAAAGTTTGGGCTATTTTTCTTAGACCCAAGCAGATAGTGATATAATTGCACTTAGGTTAATCAGACTGAGGATATCTTCATAGTACACTATTCTGGAAAGTTAGATACTTGTTAAAGTTGTTATGTACATACACCATAGTGAACACTCTCAGAAATATGTGTTTAGTACACCTTACGAGTGCTTGAACTCACTAAAATGTCCTCAAACGGTCTTATGAGGGGATTAGAAAAAGGACATTGCCCTCTGTTATGCCCATTTGGTTTCAATGTCTAACTAACAAGTCTTAAGAGACTCTTCTTCTGCTTTCTTACTGGGGTGAATTTAAGAGGCTGTCTGTCCCTAAAGAAAACACAGGTGAGGATTTAAATAACTCCATACTAAACACCACATAGAAACATCTCATCATAATGGAAAGAGCCCTGGCTCTTGAAGTCACACTTGCCTTCATTCATGTAACTGCTTGGCCATGTGTAGCTGGATGAGCTCACTAGCTGCTAGAGCTCTTTGAACCTGAATTTTCCTATCTGAAGAAATGGGGATGATGCGCCCTCCCTCCAGAGTTCCTGTGAGAAAATGGAAAGCAAAATAAGAAGCCCAGTGCCCGAGTTATAATGGATGCTTAATAATTGTTGGTTTTCTCCCTCTTAAGCTAAATCTTTCTCTCTACTAGCAGTAGCTATACTACATTACAAGCACAGTAAAATAATTTTATAGAGTATAATTTAGCACTTATTAAAAATGAGGACATTTAATATAAAACAGTAGTAAAATAACTGAGAATAAACCCCCATTCTTTGTAATTACTAAGTCTTGAAATAAACTGGGAATGGTCACAAGCTAGGCTTCTTTCTGTGTGTATCACTGCAAGCTTCCGTGAAATAACTTCTACTGGCAAAACATAAAATGGAGACAGCTACTCTTACAAATACATGTTTTCATAAGGCCTAAACATATATTAAATTAAGATTAGTAAACAGATGTTAATTGATTTTACTTTCTATTATAGCTGACAAGAATTGTATTTGCTGTTAACTTATTATAAACTGTTACTGTCTATTGACTATAGGAGAACCAAATCCATCCCTTGAACAATTTTTAGGTCACTGAAGAAATGTCACTCAGCATTCATGAAATTTGTGTATGCCATTTGCATGTACAGATGTTCTCTTCCCTTTGTGGGGCCAGGATTGTGCCACTGTGGTTTCACTTATCATACTCATGCCTTCCACTTTAGTCAGGTACCTGCACCCTGGAGTGTACTGGAAAGCAGTCTCAGTCTCTATGATGAACAGACCATTGGTTCTTTTGGCTTGTGTTTATATCTGTCTTATTCTTGGGGACATCCGTTGTCTTCTTTAAAGAAATAACAAGTTTAGCAGTCTTTACACACATAGAAAATTGATGAGACATAGTATTTAATGCAAATTGGAAAGCTATAAATTGTGTATTCTCAAAATGAGGTTTGGGGTTATTAGCAAGGACCTCTAATCAAACTTTTGTTCTTACGACCAACAGTCACCTCAGTTTTGTTTTCCAGGGCCAGCCGGGGGACCAGGCTGCTCTCTTTGCTGCACAAGCCCGGCCTGCCCCTCAGCTCCCTCAGTACCCTGGGCTCCCACAAGCACAGGTACTTACATCTCTTTCCTAGATGCTGCTGGGATTTTTATTGCTCTTCATTTTAAATGGAAACCAATAAATAGGATGGCAACTCTTATAGGATCTAGAACTTAGTTGCTTCTGCTTATAGATTATAACTGACATTTCAAACAAACATTACCAGTGAACAAGTAGCAGGTTTGCTTCATTTAAAAAGCGTAAAACATTTTAGGAAATTCTCAAATTAAAAACATAAATTCAAACCTGTCTATTTGTAATGGTGATTATTGAAATGCTTAATAGTCCCAGAGTACTTATTTTATGTTATAATAGATCATGATGTAATTCATGACTGAAGTTATCATATTCAAAGGTAGCTTTAAGGAGGAATCATGGTAGAATAAGGAAGTGAGCCTTGGAATCAGAGCCTGTGGCAATTCCTGGCCCCTTATTAGCTGTGTGACATTGTGCTGGCTATTCTGTCTTCTAAAATAAAAATGAAAATTGTGATCATTTCCAACAACCTGTGGAGCATAGCACCAGATCCACAGTAGCCACTTTAGCAAACAGTAGAGTTGCCTCAATATAGTGAGAATCTTGAGCTGTTTCTTTTCCTAAAAGTTTTGTTTATTCTAATACTTTCACCCTTACCCCTTTTAGAAGGAATCTGGGGATATTGACAGTACCGCAAGTTGGGGTTAGCAGTGTACACTGCCTACAGCTGGAAGGAAAGCCAAGATTGGCCTTCACAGGCACCAAGCCCTACAACCTCCATTTATGCTTCTTGTTGAAAGTTCATATTTGCTACTCTGTCTTCCAAGTCAAAGTCATAAACTGCCTTAAAGCATGCTGCTTTGAGGATTTGCTGAACAGGCCCTTTTTCTATAAAAAGCATTTTGTTCTTTAAGTTGTAGATAGTGATCTAATAGTATCTCAGGATTTCATTAGGCATCAAGATTTAAATTAAAATACTCATATTAATATTGAGTACAAAAAATAAATATCAGATTATTGGTAGAGTAAGCAACATTCTTACTCTCTGGCTAAAATAATAGTAAATAATAGTTGGACTTGTTGGACAAGAGGTCATTTATTGCAGAAATGTTCATCAGATCTCAAGACAGTCACATATCAGGAAAGTGCACTCCAATATAAATTTTAATTGACATTGAGAAATTACATTGGATAGCTTTTCTGATCCATTTTGGAAATTTTGTAATAGAATTTGGGATCTGTTGAGCATTGATGTCCCCTGTGCACTAATGATGTGGATGCAACTGATTTAAAACTAATTTCTTAACCAAATGAGGATTCTTTTATTTTTTCATTGATATTTTCTAGTGAATTATTACCAGTTCATTTTATATTTTTTTCTAGCCTCCCTACCTCCAGAATAGGCTTTCTCATATTTTAAGTCATAAGAGCCTTTGAGAACAGTGCATTTCAGGAGGGTTCTCCTAGGTTTATTTTGCTCCATACATCCTAGTGATAGGAAAACGTGGTAAATGGAGATAATGACTTCATCCTTGTACTTGCCTGCAGACCATGTCACAGGGCTACACGATGTATGGAACACAGATGCCTTTGCAGCCAAACCCACAGCAGCAGACTGGAAGCTTGGTCCTGTCTCCCAGCTATAATTCCAGAACCTATCCAGCCACGCATTCCAACCCGGCTCTAATGGAAAGACTAAGACAGATGCAGCAGCAGCCAAGTGGCTATGTTCAGCAGCAGGCATCGCCCTACTTGCAGCCCTTGTCCAACTCTCAGAGGTGTGATATATGTAGTAATAATGATTGCGAGATACCTACTATTGTAAAATAGTATTGAAATTCTTATCCTTGTTAAGCTATAACTATTTTTATGAACTTGCATATCTGCGTTATAATACACATACTGTCATCTCATCTTTAGTAGCATCGAGGTAGAGGTTCAAAATAAACAATATCCAATCTTTTTTTTTTAAAGATTTATTTATTCATGCATACAAGAACTGGTGTATAGGCCAGATGTGCAGGAGGGTGAGAGGATTCACCAGAGACAGAGCGGGGAACAGAACAGGAAGACTGACTGAAATACACTGCTAAGTGGAGCAGCGGACAAGGCAGGAGAGGTCTGCCATGCCATGTGGGTATCTCCCAGGCCAGCTGGGATTGAACCCTCATTGCAAAGGCTGCGGACAGCTTCACAGTGCTGGGCTCAACTGCCTGCGCCACCAGGGAGGCCCAAAATATTCCATCTTGTTTTATTTCATCCAATACCCTTATAATTTGACTACAATCTTTTGTAAGATGTGTATGATATTTTTAGATGTCAGACCATCTTGGTTCAAGTGTTCTTCCTTTTCTCTTCTTTTGAAAATCTTTCTTGGCTAAAATTACCTAAGATAACTAATTATTGATTGTGGGCGTTTCTCAGTAGAATATGTTGATTAGCACCATCAAGTCTATGGTTGCAATATTCACTGTGCCTGGTGCCTATACAGTTTTGTTACAACTTTGTTCATACCTTCTTCACTTTGGGAATGTTTGGTAAAACCTGCGTCACACTGTGCTGTATTTAGAATATTCTAAGCTTTGTTTAATGATCTACTGTCATCTTCTTGAATTCTTACTAATTTTTTTTTTTTTTAAAGTTTTTTTTTTTTAATTTTATAGAGGCATGTTTATTTATTTATGTATTTATTTATTTGCTTGTTTTGTTTATACATGCACTGGGTACAGTCAGAAGCGCAGGAGGGTGAGAGAATTCACCAGAGCCAGAGCAGGGAGCAGAGCAGGCAGAAGGACCGAAGTACACTGCTGAGGGGAGCAGCGGGCGGCAGGAGAGGTCTGCGCACCATGTGGGACCCTCCTCCGGTGGCTGGGGAGCAGCCGGGGATCGAACCGGTGCCGCAGAGGCTGCGGGCAGGTTCGCAACCCAGCGCTCAACCGCTGCGCCACCGGGGAGGCCCGAATTCTTACTAATTTTTGATGGAGTCCCCATTTTTGTTTTACACCAAAACACAAAATTATGTAGCTAATCCAGGTGGCAAGTGGCTATCCTATTGGCTAGCACAAAGATAGAACATTTTAATAACCATAGAAAGTTCTCTTGGATCTCATTGCTCCAAGAGAATTACATTTCATGCAGAATTTTGCGGTGTAATGTACAGCAGCTTTGGACTTGTGTTTTACCATCAATGGCAGCATGTCAACTCTAAGTAATCACTGTATGGAAAGTTGGCAAGGTTGATATTAGCACATTTGGGAAAAATAACTAAATTTGGAAAGCATGTATTATATTATTTTTGAATAAGTGACAGTATATCTTATTGCCTAAGAACTTGAACCTTTACTGTCCAAAAATTCTGAGTTTATGTACCATCTGTGTCATTTGCTATATAAATGACTTTGGTAAGTTATTTCTTGAATTCTCTTTTTTCCCATTTTTTAAAGTAGAATTTAAAAAGCTCCTAACTTCAAAGAGCTTTTGTGGGAGTGAATGAAATAACACTATTCTGACTTTTACCACAGTGGCTACACCAGAATAAATCTTATTTGATGTCACTTATTGAAAACTATTTAAAAACTTTAATATTTACATAGTTGCAACTTTACCTGGAGTAGTCAGCATGCTTACTGTACTTTTTCAAGTGATCCTATTTATGCCTAGAAATTGTAGTTGAATTATACTAATTATTATTGACTATAGTAATTTCTGTGTGTGTGTGCGCATGTGTTTACTTTTTTTTTTTGCTCTTTTAGAGAGTTTATTACTCCAAAAGTACAAAGTACATTTTTGGAGCATTATAATAATCTCCACAGCATATTCTGCCCAGTAGTTATAGTAGCATCTAACCTAAGATGTACATAATGATCCCAAATTCTTTTTTTCCCCAGTTTAACTGAGAAATAATTGACCTATAACATTTTATAAGTTTAAGATATACATTATAATGATTGCATATATATATATATATATTGCAAAACAATCGGTAAAGTGAGTCTAGTCAATGTTCATCACCACACAGTTACCTTTTTTTTGCTCTTCTGATGATAACTTTTAAGATCTACTCTCTTAGTAACTTTTAAATATACAAAACAGTGTTGTCAACTGTAGTCACTATACTATGCATTATAGCCCCAGGATTTTTATTTTTAATTGAAATAATATTGGATAGTCCATCAAGTATTACCACCACAGTGCACCCACCACCCACTCCTCCATTTTCCACCACCACGGCCCACTGCACTTCTTTTCCTCTTTGTTCTCACCCCTCCCCCACCACCTCCAACTCTTGGTGCTTCAGTTCTGTAGTCAGCTATCAAGGGTTTGTTTTTCAGCTTGTCTTTATCTGACTACTAACTTAGTTACTTTCTATTGTACATACACCATCTGGTATTTATCTTTCTCCTTCCGACTTATTCCACTTAGTATTATACCTTCCACCTCCATCCATGTTGCCGCAAATGGCATGAGTATCTTTTTTTGATTCATTCTATTGCGTATATATAAATATCACATCTTCTTGATCCACTCATCTGTTCTGGGGCATTTAGGTTATTTCCATAATTTAGCTGTAGTGCTAAATAGTGTTGCAATAAACATGGGAGTATATGAGTATATGTTTTCTTTTAAATGAGTGTTTTTGAATATTTTAGGGAGACACTTAGGAGTGGAATTATTGGGTCAAATGGCGGATCCATGTCTAATGTTTTAAGACCCCTTCAGTTTTCATCCCCACCAGCAGTGTAGGAGGGTCCCTTTTCTCTACATCCTCACCAGCACTTATTCTTGGTCTTTTTGATATGGACCATTCTCACAGGTGTGAGATGGTATCTCATGACCACAATAATTTCTTTGTGAAAGTGTGTAATATATGAGTGATTAAAAATTGACAGTACACTTGGACCTCAAAACGAACTATGTTACTCTTCACCAGACTGAACCATCAGTCCCTTCAGCAGAACCCTCTGGTGGGTGGAGGAATTGAGGCAGTGTTGACTTCCGCGCATCCCAGCCTTCCCTCGGTGCCTCTATCTCAGGAACCTATGAGGCCCAGGCAGCCACAGGTTCGACAGCAGCAGAGGCTCCTCCAGGTATGTGACAGGGGAAGTGAGGGCAAGGCATGATATGTCCTCAGGAGTCATAAAAAATAACAGACTTTTCCAAATTTAATTGCCCACTTCCAAGAAACCCTAAGTGCTAAATTGGTGCAATTTATTTCCAACTTAGCTAGTATCTTCCTTTGTCTCTGCATCTACCAGGTCACAGGCAGAAAGTACATTTTGCAAAGCATCCTTTTTCCATTTCACAGAGGATCAGAAGGTAGCTGGAGAGTTAATTTAATAATGTAAGCTTCAGCTTACTGAGTCATTAATTAACTAGAGGTCATGCAATTTGAATGCAAAAATTTCTCATATAGATTTAAAAAATCACACCCAAAATTGAGCTGTCCAGAGCTTTTACCACATTCCTATAAGGTTCTGTAATCCAAAAAGTTTCTACACCTCTGGTCTGTTTAGGCTGTAAAGTTAGAATTACATAGGTAGGGTATTTCAATAGGATATTTCATTTCATCTGTTAGAATCCAGAGAGGTATCTTTCACTTATTTGGCATAAATACTTGAGTTTCTTGGATCAAAGTTTCCACCTCTTGACACATTGTTGTTCCTAACTTCCCTGTGTGGGAAATACAGGCTATCACATTTACCTGTTCTACTTGTCTTCATTATTAACAACTTGTCCTATATTTTTGCATAGGATATTGCCTGATAAATATGTACAGTGGACTATAATTTTATTTGCAGTCCAACTTGAGATGAACTGTCATTATATTATTATGAAGAAAGAAGAAATAAAACTACCACAAATGGGAGTCTAATATTGCTGAGGTACCCAAGGGCTATGCTCGTAGTGTGAAGTCAGTGAGAAATAAACCAGTCATGCAGGAGTGGGCAGTAAAGGAACTTGCATGTCTCAACATGGACACTTAACTGGAGGGAAGAAAAATACATCTGCCCTGAAAATTTAAATCACGAGCTTCCGTGGGTTTGAGGTCTGAGTCAGTATGATAAAACAAATTCTGGCCTGGCAGTGCCCTAGGGGATAGGCAAAAACCAACACAAATCCTGGTAGAACTAGTCTTTACAATTAGAAGATTGTTGTAGGATGCCATTAGTTGTAGGACCCTTTAGTTGTAGGATGTCATTGTAGGATCCCAATTTTTAACTTAAAATGAAAAAAAGTCATATCACAAAATCAAATAAAATACAATAGTTGGTTTGGGTTGAATATGGTCCCATTTACTATCTCCAATGTGTAAAAACCCCTCCAGTCCTCAGTTTTGTCATAAGTAAAATGGAAATAATTATAGTAACTACTTCTTGAATGTGTAGTGAGAATTAAATAAGAAAATGTGAGTGAAATACTTACTTGATAATACTACTTATTAAGATGATCATTAATATGGCTGTTAATACTAATATTTTCTTAAATCAAAACAGTTTTTCCTGAATTCTAAGGATATGTTTTCAAAAGGTTTTAAGACTTTGTATTTCTCTCTATTTTAAAATTTCTCAATTCCAAAACACTAAAGAAAGTCATTACATTATTTGTTAATTTACTACTTCCTGTATTTGTTTTTTAAAGCTATAAAGTTTAAAAACCTTCCTTATTTGTTAATATGTCCTATTTATATCAAGTAGCATAATATTGTCTTTCTGGTAATTTTTTCTTTACCAACACAATCCCCTGGAGATTAAAAAATAAAAACAAAGCAATTGTCTCCTGCATCAGGATTGTGCCTACTCCTTTTTTGGTGATTAATTGCCTCCATAACAACACAAATTCATAACTTTGAAGTTGAGTTGATTTTTTTTTTTTTGGTAGAGACCCAAATGGAGAATTGGTTTCATATCTCAACCACTGTGTTTCTGGTTCAACTTATATTGCTTATTTTGGGATTGATTACACCTTCCCAATACTTCTGCTAGTATTCCACATTCATGAATATTGTGATAAATGCCACCTAGGAATAGCTCTTCTATTACTTGACCTTAAAGAAGACAAATAGATTGGTGAATGGTAGGCAAATCAAATTAGAAAATGCCATTTGGATAGAAGTCTGTCATTGTTAGGAAGTTGAAGTGTTTGGGTGGAGGAAATTGTACAGGTCATTGAGAAAACTACCTGATGGTTTCCCTTCTGTGTCACACCTAGTTTGTGTTTCTTCAGTGATGTAGAAGTATTTTCCGAGGGCCATGTGTTTTGACTGATAATTCATACCAGAACTTCTCACATCTACATCTTCCTTTAAAAAAAAATCTAATCTTCAGGAGTTCTTCAAGAATAGCTACTCCACCTCCACCTGTTCTTCCTCCTTCATCTCCTCTTCCTGTTGTTCTTCCTTTTCCTCATCAACATCTTCCTTTAAGAAAAATAAAGATTTTCTCCATATGTCCTAAGGAATTAAAAGATAGCTACAGAGCAGTCCAAGTCTAATCTGGCAGTGTAAGATCAAAGATAAAGAATAGAGCATGATTTGAAATGAATTAAAACAGTAATTACAAAAGATGTCCATGGATATTGAAGGTGGTATAGACAATGAACACTGATTACTGAAGGAAGAGTGTCCTGGGGTCCAAGAAGTCCTCATAGACAAGCAGATTCCTTCCTTTCCCTCAAAAGAAAAACAATGTTTGATAAGGCAAAGGTGGAGAAGGCAAGAGTATATTATTTTTATTTCAAAAGATTGTTAGATAAAAGGCATATTGGGATATTGGAATGTATTCAGCCCCTACTTATAAGTGTATATTCCTTTTTCTCTCTTTATCGATGCAGCAAGCCCAGCAGCCCCCACAGCCCCCACAACCCCAGCAGCCCCAGCAGCCCCAGCAGTCCTCACAGCCCCAGAGTCAAAGCCTTGGTCTTCAAGCAATGCAGCCCCAGCAGCCTTTGGTAAGACTTGGAATTTTGGAGCCAGACGTGTGGGTTTCTTCTTCAAAGTGGTTGCATTTTTCTTATCCCATAAGATTGTTAAGAGTCCAAATAGTCTAGATATACCCTAGCAGTTTTTCCCTAGAATTATATCAGGGTAGGATTGTGTTACTGTATAATGACTATATTTTTTTTTCATAGAAAGGTATAAATACTTGGGGTGCAGTAGCTTTCACCATTTTTCCTCTTCAATTTTTAGACATTTCCATGGACTAAAATATTTATATTCAAGACACTAAATTTTTTTGGAAACAATATTAAATGATCATAATATATAAGGAGGTTTTATTACATATAGATTATCTTACATTGAATTTTTTACAATAAGATAAAAACATGAATGCTTTCTAAAATAATCTTTTCTGATGTAAAAGAAACTTTGATTTCAACCATTTAGCCTTTGCTGCAAGAATTTTCATGTAATTTATAATTGTATAGTTCATTTCTCTAGCTTTTTAAATCAAAATTTGAAAGGTTATGTGCATACCATAAATCAACATTTTCTATACCTCAGTAACTTATAGTAGCCTTTGGCAATACCGTATCTCCATTTTATTATGTGCTTACTTGTTTTTCTTTAAATTGACTTTTTTTCCTATTTATTTGAATGTATTTTTTAAAGAAATATTTTATCATTACCATCGGTGGTCACATACTTACCACCCAGATATACACTTGTCATTATCAGAAATAGTGTAAAAATAAAGTAGGTAGCTCAGTAATATGAGTTGTATGAGTGTTCCGTACAACAAGCTGGCTTACACATATAAACCATACATTAGAAAATCCTGGTTATCAGGACATGTTTTGAAAGATGAATGGTTTCATAGCTTGTGCTAGAGAAGGAACAACATAGCTGTGGTAGTTGCACATGAGGAAGATCAAGGTAGAGGTAGGTGGTAAAGGAATGATCATGCCCAAATAGTACTGTTTCTGAAACATGGTCATTTGGGGTAGGGCAGCTCTAGCGGGTTGTACAAGCATCTGCCTTGACCAGTTTGATCTCTGTTTTTAGTGAAATTCTTTATCATGATGTAACTTGGATTCCTTTTTTTCCTCATGGGTCTTAAAATTTATTATGATGCATTTCAAAAAAATCTTTTTTAAAGTACAGGAACAATATAAATACTCACTTCCTTTAACATCAGCAGTGTATTAGTAGAGACTGGGCATTACCTAAAAATGTTGTGGAAGACTCCTTCAGATGGGATACTGCTAGCTGATTCTAAATGTCCCACCCAAGAAAAAATACGTAATTCTTTATTGTCAAATTATTTCAAACACACTGAAGACTTGTAAGAATAATACAAATTGCTATAAGCCCTTCATCCAACTTAATTTTTCAACATTTGCGTTATTCTCTTTACACACACATTTCACCTATTATCTGTACAAGTAAATTACATACTTATGCCATTTTACTTGTTATTTTTTCAAGAACAAGAGTATTTTCTTACTAAAGCTTGGCATAATATAATAATATCAAAATTTAACATTAATACAATTCTGCAACCTTTTTTGCGAACTATGCCAATTGCACCAACACTGTGCTTCTGCAGTTTTTTTCCTGGTCTACAATCACACTTTGTATGTCTTTATCTTTTATGTCTTTTTATCCATCTTTAATTTGGAACAATTTGCAGCCTATTTATTATGTCTATATGGCATTGACTCTTTTGGAAATTTATAGGATATTTATTTTGTAGAGTGTTACTCAGTTTGATTTATTTGAGGCTTCCTCATGATTAGATTCTTAAGCATTTTTGGTAGGAATATACAGAAGTGATGTGTTTATCTCCATGTATCACATTAAGCAATGCATTATTGGTGATTTTACTTTACTGTCTCTGTTTAAGTGATACCTGCTAGATCTCTGTGATATAAAGTTACTGATTATCCTTTGTAATTAGTGAGTAATTTGGGCACTTTTTTCAGACAATAATTATTCTTTGACTCATAAGACCTTTACCAATCATTGTTAGTATTTATTAAATTGTTTTTGCTTAAGTCCATTTTTATGATTGTAGTGGGAAAATGATAATTTGCTAAATAACTGCCATTTTTTTCTACATTTAACAGCACTCTAAGAAATAACTCTTCCTTCTTCATTTGTCTATCTGACTCTACCTAAGTTATGTTTAAATGTGAAGCCTAACATTTGACTGTTTGACTGAGAAGAATTTAAATTCTTCCTCCAAACATTATGCAATATTTTATAGTTGGATATGGCATCGATTAGATTAAATTTGACAACTTCAAAATTCACTTTCCATGAAGTGTATTATGATGTCAAGGCAGTAAAAAAAAAGCTTAGGGTGACCCTAATCATCTGTTTCCATATACAACAAAACATTATGGTGGTATTTTGACAGAAAGCCAGGATATAAATCAGAAGTGCAAATTATTTAGTTTGTATTATTAAATGTCGACCTGGCAAAACCTCAACCTTTTCCTTCTAATTTATAAGATACTTGTTAATCTGTAATATTCATGTTAGCAACAGAGGACTATGTAAAGAAGAGTAGTATAAAACTATTTCAGAGATTTAATACACATTTATAAATGAGTACTTGACTAATAATTATAAAGAGCCCATTAGAGAATTATAACTTCTTTGACTAACTATGACTAATAAGGAAATGGGTATATAATACATGTCTACTTTGACTAACTATGACTAATAAGGAAATGGGTATATAATACATGTCTACTTTAACAAAAAAGAAAGCATTTAATAGAACTGCTTCAGTTATTTTGAATATATAAGTGTATGATCACATTTTCAGCAGTTTTTTAATGTCATATAAAAATATATATTGAAATGCACACACGAGGATCACAAATAAGAATATATTCGTGCATTCAACACATTTAAATTTGTATTTTCTTCTATTTGTTTTATATATTTAAAATTATATATTTAATCATACAGATATGTAACTGCCATCCTAAAACTATGTAAATTTCTTTTTTTCCAAATGTTGACTTTGATTTGTGGTTACACACCCTTGTAAAATAGTAAATAATTTCAACAAAAACATAATATTAATTGACATCTGCAATTAAGCAAACATTAACAGTATCTTCATTAACATTTTCTTTGGGGGGAAGCCTTTCACCCATCTGTTATTAACCATCATTTTTGTTGGTTTATGATATAATATGTTGGAAATACATAAAATATTAAGGTATAAAATCAGTTCTATTTTTAAAGAATCATACTACATGAACACAGATGGATATCAATAACAAATATGTATAGCTGGATGTGGCATCAATTAGATTAAATTTGGCAATGAATTGTATAGGATAACAAAAATAAACATTCGATTCTATCAAATGGTTAAATTTATCAACTTAGGCAGAATTGAGATACTCCATCCCCCTGTTCCATTAGAATTAAAAAGTATCTAACATAGGAGAATTTAATCTCTACTCATCTAACAGCTTGATTTAATGAATTTATTATATGTAAATAATATCTATCATTTAGATTTCTAAGACATAAAAGATTGTATTTTATTCACTCGTTAAAACTGGTTTAAAACTGCCATCTCGGGCCTCCCCAGGTGGTGCAGCGGTTGAGCGCTGGGCTGCGAAGCTGCCTGCAGCCTCTGCAGTGCCGGTTCAATCCCTGGCCACCGGCGAGGGTCCCACATGGCGCACAGACCTCTCCTGCTGCGCCCTCTGCTCCCCTCAGCAATGTGTTTCCTCAGTCTGCCTGCTCTGTTCCCCACTCTGGCTCTGGTGAATTCTCTCACCCTCCAGCACTTCTGACTGTACCCAGTGCTTGTATAAATAAATAAATATTAAAAAAAAAAATTGCCCTCTCAGGAGCCACCCCGGTGGCGCAGCAGGTTGAGCAACGCGCTGGGAAGCTGTCCTCAGCCTCAGTGATGTGGGTTCGATTCCCGACTGGCCAGGGAGAGACCCACATGGCGGGGCAGACCTCTCCTGTATCACCCACTGCTCCCCTCAGCAGTGTCTTTGGTCCATCTGCCTGTTCTGCTTCCCACTCTTATCTCTGGTGAATTCTCTCACCCTCCCATGCCTCTGACCTATACCCCGGTTCTTGTATAAATAAATAAAAAATCTTTAAAAAACAAAAAAAACCCTGCCTTTCTCAGGGGTTTGGTAGGTTAATCGGAACATGACACATAATTTTCCTCATTTTGTTCATTAGAAAAGTTCCAGAGAAACAGAACTTTTACTCACAGCAACCCTAATGATTATAAAATCCACAGTAGACTTTTTACCTTTTTCGTTTTAAGGCGAAGCTTTTTAAAAGCCCTTTTGTGAAGCACAGTCTTTGATGTTTTTAGCACAATAATGTAATCACAAAGTAATCATTTTTACAAAGGCAGAAATTGCACACACTCATGTATGTGTGTGTGTGTGCACACGTGCGTGCAGTGTGTCTGTGTCTGTCTGTCTTTTAAGTCCTAGAAAGGGTTAGGAAATTTAAAATTTCACTTAGAGTGACAGATTTCAGATAATTTCAGAATTAGAAACTATAGGGATGGTCAGTGATCATAGATTTCTTTTTGTAACACACTTTTATTTTGCATTCTTGTTTATATATACCCTTAATTTTATCAGTATATACTACAGATTTGTCATTTTAAATAGCTGTGAAGTCAGTCTGTTGTGTTGCTTTGCTATTATTTGCTTAACCACCCCACCAACTGTTAAACATTTAGATCATTTCCAATTTCAAAAATGTTTGTTGCTAGGGGTATTTTGATATATAGTCTATTCCTCTTTTTGGTCTTGTCACAATAAGAGAAAGTAGAAGTGTAAGAAAAAAGTTACCTCTAATTCTATTTTCAGAAGAGTGATAATATAACGTCTCAACAATATTAAGAAAAGATTTGCACTTTCAATTTTTGGCATTGTTTCTTATTCCACTAAGATGTATTACATGTACTTTAAATATATTTATTTAAATTTATTTAAACATC